TTTAGATCTGGGTCACAGTTCTGAAAGGCAGTCCTGGGGCGAGGAGGAGTGCTGGCCTGGTGGAGCTTGTAGTGGTGGTAAAGAGAAAATCCTCCTCACAGTTCCAAGACAGAAGAGTGCTTGTGGTCACTCATAGACCAGAGCACAGGCCAGGAAAGGAGTAAATGCCTCGCCTCTTATCATACCACCTTGGAAGAACTGAAAATTTACAGGTCCCTACAAGTATCTCTGAAAACAGCTGTACAAACCCCCAAAGCTTGGAACAGTACATTCTCCACATTGGAAGCAGACCTCTACCTTAATAAAGAGTTTATAACTCAAGTAATTGGCTGGGATCATGAGCAAACCTCGAAAGAAGTGTCAGACCATAGAATCTTTTTTTTGGTAACAAAGATCAAAACATACAACAAAATCAAAGCTCCTACATCCAAAGCCTCCAAGAAAAGGTATGAATCAGTCCCAGGCCTTGGAAGAGCTCAAAAAGGATTTTGAGAAGCAAGTAAGAGAAGTAGAGGAAAAACTGGGAAGAGAAATGAGAGTGATGCAAGAAAATAATGAAAAACAAGTCAACAGCTTTCAAGAAATTATCAAGGAAAACTGCCCTGATATAGTAGAACCAGAGGGCAAAATAGAAATTGAAAGAATCCACTGATCACCTCCTAAAAGAGATCCCCAAGGGGATTGTATTTCCATAATACTTGAATTGTTTCCTTCTGGCAGCTTGTAATATTTTCTCCTTGACCTGGGAACTCTGGAATTTGGCTACAATTTTCCTAGGAGTTTTCCTTTGGGGATCTTTTTTAAGAACCAGAAGGGATCTTACAGATCATTTGGTCCAACCTGATCATTTTACAGATGAAGAAACTCAGGTCTAGAGAGATGAAAGGAGCTCTTACCTAAGATCACACAATTTATTTAGTGGTAGCCTTGGGACTAAGAACCCATGTCTTAGGATCATAGATTTACAGTTGTAGATGAACGTTGAGGCCACTGAGTTCAGATCCTGCATTTACAGATGAGGAACCTGAGACATAGAGAGCAACTTGCTGCTGGCCATACAACTAGTGTCAAAGCAGAATTTGAACCCAGGTCTCCCTGACTCCAGGTCCAGTACTCTGTCATTAGACTGGGCTCATCCATCAGATTTTATTTAATAGCTGTTCTCAGATTTATTTCCTGTAGTAAACATAGTAAAATGTTACTCGTGTAATGGGTTTAGGGCCAAACATTCATTGTATTCACATCTATAGGGTTTCTATAGTAAAAGGCAGTACAACTTAATGACACCTGAATATCTATCTCCCTCTCTAAATGCAGAGAACATCACCCAACCTAAACACTGGGGACCAGGGGAAAGGGAGAAGGGTGATAGCTATGGACTGAGGATCATATTATAGTCATGTTCCTCTTAGGTGATGGGGAAGAAAATAAGTGGGGTCCTCAACAGTACAGCAATGGGAAGAAGAGGCCCTCTTCAGTATGAGCCCATCCCTTAGACTAGTGAATCACAGATTGGGAAGGCACCTCAGAGGCCAAAGTCTAGCTTCTAACTGAAAGAGCATCCTCTCTGTAACAATCCCAGATAAGTGATCATTGAGCCCCTAATTGAAGGCCTTTAGTGGAAGAAACCCACAGCGTTTCGATGCAGTCCATGCCACTTTTGGTTAGCTATAATTGTTAGTCTTTCCTCCAACATCCTCTAAATTTGCCTTTAGTTTTCCTGGTTTCTTTCAAGATTCAGCTTAAATCAGAACTATTGAGGTGGCATAGTGAATAGAGCCAAAAGAGTGAATAGAGATGTGGAATCAGGAAGACCAGGGCTCAAATTTGGCTCCAGATACTTCCTAGTTGTGTGACCCTGGGGAAGTCACAATGTTTGCCTCAGTTTCCCCATGTATAAAATGGGGATAATAATAGCACTTACTTCCCAGGGTTGTTGTAAGGCTAAAATAAAATTTCACAAAGTACTTTGTGAACCTTAAAGCACTATATAGATCTATTATTATTGTGATTACTAGCTATTACTATTATTACTAGCTATTAAATCCTACACTTCTGCAGGACGTTTTTCTGGGTTCCCCAGCTGTTAATACTTCCCTCTTTCAGATTAACTTCACCTATTTGGCATATCTTTTATGTACCTAGTTATCTGTATGGTGTCCCCTCTCCCCCCCTATTAGAATGTATGCTTCTTGAGGGTAGTAACTTTCTTTTTGCTTTTATATCACCAGCTCTTAGCACAGTGCCTGTAACATAAGTACCTTTTTTCCTTTTAGACTAGGTTTTTCCACTTTGCCCAAGCTGGAAGCACAGAGGTCACTCACAGGCCCAATTGCATTGCTTATTGGTGTGGAAGCTTTGACCAGCTCCATTTTTGACCTGGGCTGGTTCTCCCCTCCTTGGGCAGCCTCCCCTTCTCCCCACCCCTCATTGGTGCCAGATTCAAATAACCTAGCCTTACTGCAGTTCAGAACTCTGGAGTTCAAGTGATCTGCCAGCCTCAGTCTCTCTTAATAACAGGGATTTAGAGGCATGTAGTTTGAGGCCAGTCACATATTGTTGATTGATTAGCCTATTGTCACACTAGTTGTAAGAATCAAGGTGGGATGTGTACTCAGGCCCATTGACTCTACCACTAGTGCTCTTTCCACTGTACCACAGCAGCTATGGAGCAGCTAGGTGGTAAGTGGATACAGTGCTGGGCCTGGAGTCAGGAGGACCTGAGTTGAAATACACCCTCAGATACTTTGCCAGCTGCATGACCTTGGGCAAATCACTGAACTGTTTGCCTCAGTTTCCTCATCTGTAAAATAAGCTGGAGAAGGAAATGGCAAACCATTCCAGTATCTTTGTCAAGAAAACCCAAATAGGGTCATGAAAGTTGGACACAACTGAACAACAAAGCAGCTCTAATAGAATTTTGTTGCTTTGTGAGAAATGAAAGTGAAGAATTCAGAGACTTGTATGAACTTTGAGTAATGTAAGGAGAAGCATAAAAATAACATATATGACTACAACAATGTAAAAAGAAAGAACAACAAAATGAAACTGAATTTTATGTAATTATAATCATTAGATGAGAACAGAAAAGAGAAAATAAATTTCATTGAAAGGTGGGAGACTGTATAGAATATTGCATCTGATAGTACTAGACACTTTCCATGTGTGTTGGATGGTTTTGTTAAACTTTTTTTTTTAATTTCCTTACAAGGGAAGACTTGCTAAGAAATTGGGTCAGGGGGAGGGGGAGAAGGTATTTTTGTAAATGAATGTGATATAAAAGGTATCATTAAAACTTTAATAAACAATAATAGCTAACATTTATATAGTGCTTACTATGTTCCAGGCACTATGCCAGCTGCTTTACTATTTATTATCTCATTTGATCCTTACAACAACTCTGAGGGATAGGTGCCATTAGTATACCCATTTCGTTGTGTCGTTCAGTAGCGTGTGACTCTGTGACTCAGTGACTCAGTTTAGGGTTTTCTTGGCAAAAAGACTGAAGTCTTTGCCATTTCCTTCACCAGCTCATTTTATAAATGAGGAAACTGAGGCAAACAGAGGTTAAAGGACTTACGGGTCCCACAACTAGTAAGTGTCTTGAGGCCGGATTTGAACTCAAGATGAACCTTCCTGGCTCTAGACCCTATTCATCTAGCTGCCTCTATTTGACCACCTAATCTCAAAAAGTCATTTACATTTTTTTTGATACTTGTGTCTGTATATCACCTGCATTTCTCAGGTATCCCCCTCCCAGACTGCTATGCCTCGAGATAAAGAATTTTTAGAAAGAGAAAAAAAAAAGAAATTCTATGAAACTAACCAATGCATGGCAAGTCTGGTGTTGTATGTAACACTACAGAGCCACTGTCTCCCATTTCTGCAGAGAAGGTGTTGCAGAGGTATCCCAACACTTAGCACAGTGCCTGGTATATAGTAGATATTTAATAAATGTTTATTGATAGATTTTTCATCTCCCTTCTTTGGGGTCAAGCTTGGTCATATTTTTCAGCAGTTTCCATTCATTTTTCTTTGTTCTTGTTCTATTTACATAGTTGTTGCCATTTAATCTTTCTGGTTTCAGTCTCTCATCTATGAAATAAAAAATGTTGGCTTCCATTAAGTGTTCTCAATCTGGTTTCAGTAGCAAAAAAAAAAATCATATTTCAATAAACTGGTTTCTATGTAATTCCATGGATTTTATTTTACGTATATAAAACCATTATTCGGTGAATGGATCCACAGGCTTCACCACAGTGCCAAAAGGCTCCCTGACGCACACAAAAAGATGAAGATCTGGCGATCTCTAAATTCCAAGTCTATGATCCTGTGCTTCAGCTCCGCTCTTTAGTATTATTATATTACCTTGGGCAAGTCACTTTCCCTTCTCGGGACCTCAGTTTCCCGCCTTGTAAAATGAGGTGTGGTAGGTGGGTTAGACCGTAAGGAGGATTTATCTTGGACCTTCCCCCAGGGTTTAAATGTAGTCTCTGCCTGGCCAGGACCGCGGGTGGGAGGCTGCCCGGAGGCGTGCCCACGCCTGGCCCACAGCCCGCCACGAAGTGACTGCCACGTCAGGACAACTTCACAAACCGTGCGCGGGGCAGGGGCCGCGACGCCTGGCCCCGCACTGGGGTGAGGCGGACGGGCGGCGGGAGGACTGAAGCCCTGGCCGCGGCCTCTCCCCCGGCTCTCCCATCCAACGACGGCCCCTGCGAGCCCGGCCTCCAGCCCGGGGCGGGCCGGGGCGGGCCGGGGAGGCAGGGCGGGACACTATCCGGGCGGGCCCGGCGGAAGCCGCGAGGCGAATCCCGAGGCGGCGGCGGCGGCGGCGCGCGGAAGGAGGCGGAGAAGGAGGCGGAGGAGGCGGCGCGGAGGGCGGGGAGCAGGGAGGGAGGCGGGGCCACAGTCTCCGCCGCCGTCGCCGCCTCTGCGTATCCCTGGCGCTCGCTTGGGCCGCCGGGGGCGGGGACTGGGGGACGCGGCTTCCCCGGCTCAGGAAATTCCAGGGGCCGGAGCCGGGGCCACCAGCCCGTCGCGGAGCCGAGGAGCAGGAGGCGGTGCTGGGCCGGAGCGGGGCGTCAGGGCCACCATGGAGACCCGCTACAACCTCAAGAGCCCAGGTAGGGAAGGGAGCGGCCGCTCCCCCCAAGCTCCCAGTACGCATGCGCGGACGGACGGACGGACAGCCGGACTGGCAGCCGGGGAGGCCTTGGGCCGCCGCCCCGCCACCTGTCACAGCCCGAGGGCCCCCTTCCCTACTCGAGTCCGATGCCAGACCCGGCCTGCGCATGACCGCCCGGAGCGAGCCGGGGTCCGGGGAGCCGTCCCCGGTTGTGGCCGGCCCAGCCCGAGCTGATGGAGAGAGGGCCCAGCCCCGGCTCGGGCCGCTGCCCGCGCCCTGCCCCCACCTTCCGACCTCGGCCTCACCCCACTTTGCCCTCCCTCTTTTTTTTTTTCTTCCCCCGTTATTCTTAAAGGGGCGGCACCCTAGAGACAGCCGGAGACTGCGGGACCCTCCGCCGGGCGTCCGCGCCGTCTCCTCAGGCTGCTACCCCTGGACTGGACACTTTCCGGGCAACTTCGCTGACCCGCCTTTTTGGACCGGGGTGGTGGGGTGTGTGTGTACTTGAAGACGAGGCGTCTGTGGGGGAGTGGGGGACAGAGACCGAAGAGGGATCTGTGGAGGGGTGGCAGACCCTCACCTCTCCTCCCCTCCTCCCTCCGGACCTGAGAGATGCCGGGAGGTGCAATGGAGAGCGCCTTGAGGAGGAAGTCGGAGGACCTGGGTTCAAATTTGGACCTCAGTGACCTTGTGTAACTCCCTTAATCTCTGTGGGTCTCAGTTTCCTTCGCTGTAAAATAATGGCATTTCACTAGGAGACCTCACAGGTCACTTCCATCCCTAAAGCTGTGATCCTTTTTAGCACCTACTGCCTGTATGACCTTGGGGGACTCACTTATCATTTCTGGGTTTCAGTTTTCTTTCGTAAAGCGAGGGAGTTGACCTAGATTAAGGATTCTTAATCTGGAGTCGGATAGATTTTTTTTTTGAGGGGGTGGTCATGTGAACTCGGATGGGGAAACACATTGCGTCTATATTTTCACAAAATTTTGACTGAGATTTAGCATTTCCTTCAATTAATTAAAGGAAAATTAAAAATTAAGAGAAAATTTAAGTTATTTGACAGATAAGATCAAGAACTCCTGTTTTTGTGATCCTTTTCAGCTCTAAATGGTCCTTTGGTCTTACGTTGTTAGAGTCCACCACGGTTTTTCAACCTGAAAGCTTTTGCTTATAGCACTTTTTAATAGATTATCATTGGATACTTGCTTTCCAATCCTATCTGTGAAGTGAGTGATATCAATATGTGTACAAAACACGCACACACATATTTAAACTGGAGGAATCCTAAGGTCCTATTGAACTCTAAAACCTTCGAGGTCATCTATATCATGCTGCTTCATATAGATGTACATTTTACATATGTGTGTGTGTCTATAATTATCTACCTACCTACCCACCTGTCTTTGGAATTGAAGATAATTGGGTTCCTGTCCTGACTTGAACACGTACGAGCTGTGTGATCCTCTAGGAGTCACCTAATCTCAAATACTGTAAATTGCAGAGCAGGTGTCTATTTGCAGTGTTAGAGGGAATTTCCTCATCTGGAGTACTCTATCTTCAGGAAACCCACAGCTCCAGACTGTCCTGACCCCCAGACATATATACATCCATACCCAAAGTTTTGGGAGGGAAGTGAAAGATAGTCTGGACCAGTACTTACATGGGGGTAGGTAATTTTGGATGAGAAAACTCTACACTGATAAGAGTCAATGTTGAACAAGCACTTATTAAGGGCCTGCTGTGCCAGGCACTGGGAATACAAAGCCAAAATAAACAGTGGAGTTTACATTTATCACTGTAGCTCACATGATAATTGTTAATATTCACATATAGTGCCGTGAGGTTTTCAAAATAGTTTATACACCTTATCTTATTTAATCCTCACATTTACTCTGTTAGGTAAGTGCAATAATTATCCCCATTTTATAGATGAGGACACTGAGATTCAGAGGATCTTGAGGTGATTTGCCCAGGGTCAAAGATGTTGTGTCTCAGAGTTAAGAGTCAAGTCTCAGAGTCTCCTGACTCTAAGGGAGGCTTTCTAATATCTGTCAGTATAAATACCTTTTAACAGATGAGGAAGGAGAGGCCCAGAGAAATGAAATCCTTACTCAGGGTTGCCTAGTTAGTACCTGACCTGAAGCAGGAACCCAGGATTCTAAACTGCCAGGTCCAGAATTATTTCCACTGTGTGCCTCCTATGTAACTACATAGATATCTGTGTTAGATGACCACATAGCTAACTACATAGATATCTTCATCTGGAGAGAAGGAATTCAAAGTAATAACCCTGATGCCACTACTCCAGTCCTTTCTATAAATCCTTCTGGGGCATTTATACAGTAGAACACTGATGAGAAAGGGGGCTAATAATGCCTGTGCAAGAGCTGTGCCCTAATAAGCACCTGTTGATTGATCACAAGGTACTGGGCTATTTATTCCACCAATACATTGGCAAAACTTGTGAAATGGAAAAAAAGAGAAAACAGTTTCAGTTTAACACAGTCTTTGGGAAATAGTTAATGCTTTAACCAGCTGTTATTCATTCCCCTCCCCACCCTCACCCCACCCTTTTTTCCAGTTGGTGTTAGGAAAACCAGTAATCTTTATTCCCAGGACCTAGGGTAACATACTGCCATATCTGATTTTTTTTTTCTTTTCTCCTGAATATGCAGAGCATAAAAAAAGGCCGTTGGATAGATTGAATAGAACTTGAAGTTCTTTGGTGAAATTTAGATGAGGTTTGGATGGGATAATTAAATAAATACGGTGTATTAATGGAATATTAAGGAAGATTACCTTTAGTCTGTTAGGGATAAATTTGTTTGTATTTGAGGTGGGTAACTGGCCTTATCAGTTGCAAAGACAGGATATTTATTTCGTTTTATTTACTTACTTAGGTTCATTTACCTAATGTAGTCAGGGCACTGGTTTGAATCATAAGATCACAGGATCAAGAAGCTGAAAAGAGGCTTAGAAATCGTCTCATTCAGCCCTCTCATTTTACAGGTGAAGAGCTGAGGTCTAGATAGTTTGTGACTTATCTAAGGTCTCCTAGAAAAGTAACTAGAGTTAGGATTTGAACCTCCTGCTATAAAGTCAGTGCCTTTTCTACTATTTCTGGCTGTCTGTGAATCATTCCATTCAACATTTATTAAGCAATTAAAAAGTGCTAGGCTTTGTGTTAGAAAGAAACAAGTTGGCCTTGCCTTCAGGGAGTTTACTTACAATACTCGCATAAGAGCTATGTTCATAGTCAGTTTCCTATTTTGGTTTCTGGAGAAAATGGAAAATATTTCTTGGAAAATACTGAAGCTCTTTGTTAGTCCTCAGCTTTTTATCACAGGCTTCATGACTGGCTTTGGTTTTGATTACTCCTCGGTCTCTGTTCAGTAGTACAAGGACAACAAGTAAACTGTGGCCTGATACACTAATATGTAAACAGTTACTGTATTTTTTTTAATAAAAAACATTGGGAATTTTTATTTGAGGAAAATGTTTTCAAATCTTTTATGAACCACCTCAAATAAACATGATAGTTGATCTCTCCCACTCTTTCCTACTTAAGTAATTAAGGGCCTTCCACAGTTTATAAGACTGGCTCACATGACAGTAACTTCTTAAAGGTGTTAATGATCTAGGTTGTCTTGAGGGTTTTTTTTTGTTAAATAGCACATTTTGTTACCAAATTATTGTACCTAGACTTTATACTTGAGCATTGAGCTGGATTTTCATAACACACATTCTTACTATCATGCTGAATAAGTAAACTTTTTTTATTTTTAAATTGCAAAGTTCAAGTCCACTAGTTTTTGGTATGTATATGGATATATAATTATGAATTTGAGCAATTTTACAAAAGTAATAAGCAATAGCATACGACTGCTAACTTTTCTAATTTTTATTAATGTCAGTTCGTACATTTTAATCATAAAACAAAAGTGTTCTCAGACAGGAAATCTGTACTTTTCTGTTGTGTCAACGTTGGGTTTTCCAAGATTTTCTTAAAATAGAAAGATGGGTAATTATTATTATTAGGCAGCCCATGGTTTAGTAGAGTCAGAAGACCTGGGTTTGTGTGAGGATGGACAATTTTACGCTGTGGCATCATGGGTGAGTCACATTGCTTTTTTACTTAGCTTCATTCTTCTCATCTGTAAAATAAGGGAAATAATAGTTGAAATGCCTATCTTAACAGGGTAAAAACAGACTGGTAAAATCTTAAAAATATTACAGGACTATGTGCTGTCATAAACTAGTCATCAAACTTAGTCACCCTCTTTACTCTGATGTAGTTATACTACCTTTTTGCCCCAATTTATTAGCCCTTGACAGGACTGGAAAGTATTATTTTGTATGTGACAAGATTCTGCTCCTCTCCCACAACTTTGCCTGTCTCCCACAGCGAGCATAACCTGTAAGCTGCCCCTCAGTACTTAGCACACTTGGCTAAAGTGAGAACATTTGTTGAAATGAACTTGTATTCTTAAACCTCAGATTTTAAAAACTCTCACCAAAAGTAGCAGATTATTTTCTTCAGGTAGAATTTTCCTAGATGAATTGTAATGTTTTCTGCTTCTTATTTCTAACTTCACTCATTTTTTTAGATAATATTTTTTGTAATGCATCAGAATTTGTCGGTAGACTATCCTTGCAGCCCTTGTATGCATTTTTTTTCTGCCAGACTTAAGCCCAAATCCAAATTCTGCATCATTTGAAGTTTCTCTTAATGTTTTATTTCTTTCTCCTTTGAGCTCACTAATGAAAATATTAAATTAGGTTCGACCTTTACTGACCTGTTCATGTTAGTCATTTTTGTGCTTATCTTGCCGATGAACCAGGAAGAAAAGAGCACTTTAAGTACCAGCTTTTTGATTAAAGAAAGAACCCATTTGGACTAACAGGCCAAGTGAAATTTATATGACTCTTTTCATATCTGATGAAAAATTCACATATAAGAATGAAGCATTCTCTTAATCCTTTTCAGTACCTCCA